TTCATGAGGCTGGTCTGAGGTCCCAGCATCCTTCATCAGTCAAGTGCAAAGGGACAGCTCTGATTGAATTCAGGGATCACTTTAGAGCGGCTGTGACATAAGTGGCCCCTTTAAGGCTTTATGTCAAATACAGGGCACCAAGTCATGAAAGTCAAAGGTGAGTAACATCATTTTCATAAAGAAAAAAAGAGGTTAGTATTAGATGAACACTGAGTTCCTTTTCAGGTGAAATATTTCCAGAAAAAAAGACCTTTGGGGTCCAAATTTTATGTTTCCCATCATTGAAGGTCCCTAAAATGCCTCTAGTGCCTCTACACTGCCTGAAGAGTAGAGTTGAGGCTTATAGCATCAAAGCATCCAAGACCCTGAAAGATCTGGGCCCACATAAAGATTCCACTTTATCTAGTACAAAGCTTGACACCACGTCCTGACCTTGAGGCACAGAAGCAGCCATCCTGTGCTTTCCTGCCAGGGTGCCTGTGCCCACACTGTGACCTTTGCCTGGAACATCCTCCATCTTACCCTTTCCCTGGCAGAAACTTACTCCTCCTCCCTCGAGGTGTCCAGTTCAAATATTCACACCCCACTCTGTGAAGCCGCCCTGACCTCTACCTCAAGAGGACTCAAACAGCATTATATGCAGCCCCACATCAGAAACCCCAGTCTCATAAAATCAGAATTTTCATAAGTGCCTCTCCTGTTAAACTGAGTTCTTGAAGGACAGAGACAGGAAAACACTGTTTTGTTTTTATATAGCTCCAAGGCCTACCACAGTACATGGCATATTGTGGGCACTCAGTACATATCTGTTGTAGGAAATTGAAAATTTTGATTGTGTATGTGTACACCTGCCCTTATGCTATCAGAGACAAGAGATTACTAAGAAGAGATTTGTACTGAAAAAATGAACAAGTTTTGGCTGAGACAACACCTCTTTATAACTGTAACTAAAAAGGAACATAGTCTAGAATGAAATAACATTTTTAAAGAGAAGAAGTGCTGAGAAAGGAAAAAGAAAAACTCCTGTTCATAAAGGAACTTTCTAGCAAAGGAGAAAACATTTTTTTTTGACTAATTTGAGATGTTGCTGGGACTGTTCTTCCCTCCCTTTTTCTCTAGTTTTCAGAGAACCAGTGTACTTTGAAAAGTAACATGGATGCATAAGTGGAGAGCTATGCTGTGAAACATGTCAACAAGGCTACTGAGGATGATAACTCAGCCAAGAGAAAAACATTACATAATGACATCAAAATAGGACACTTGAGGACTGCCTTAGTGCTGAAACAGCTGTCACCTGGTATTCTGGCATTCTAGAAGTCATGAAGAAATAGCCCCTGGAAATAGGAGAGTGCAGATTATCTGCAACGATTTGCAGAGGTCAAGAGCATGGTTTGCTCATTTAAAAAAGTTAACCTGTTATTATCATTTTCACTTTAGAAAAAAATGTGAAAGTAGAATACCAAAACACTGTCCCCAGGTGAGTTTCGAAGGAAGAGAGGCTCCCATTCACGCTAACAGACTTATTTACTTGGAGATATTTTTCTACTTTGTGGATTATCCCCACTTCTTATTTCTACATATAAGTCAGTGACTCCATCCTTAGGGTGTACTAAAGAAAGGATAATATATGAAATTTAAATCTTGTCACTTTTGCTGTTGGTAAAATCTGTTAGGACAAATGCATTTAAAAAATGTGATAAATGTTCAGAGGGTGTTCCCATTTTAACTCTTTTTGAGTGTGCAATTTAGTGGCCTTAAGTATGGTTACACTTGCATGCAACCATCACCGAATCTATCTCTAGAACGTTTCCATCATCCCCAAAGAAACTCTGTACCCATTAACAAGACTCCTCACTGTTTGTCCCCACTCCCTTTCCTTGGTAACCCTACTTCACTTTTTGCTTCTGTGACTAACAATTCTAGGTGACTCCTGTAAGTCAAAGTATTTGTCCTTTTTGTGTCTAGCTTATTTCACTTTGCATAAGGTCTTCATGTAGTGTACAGGTTAATCTTTTAAAGCCCGAGTAATTCTCCTTTATTCATTACATTTTGCTTATTGAACCATGGAGGGACATTTGGGTGGTTTCCACATTTTGGCCATTATGAAGGCAATTTTTTATTTTTTGGTACTGGAGATTGAATCTGGGAGTGCTTTACTACTGAGCTATATCTGGATACCAGCCCTTTTTATTTTTTATTTTGACAAAGGGTCTCACTAAGTTGATGAGGTTGGTCTTGAAGTTGAGATCCTCCTGCCTCAGCCTCCTAAGTCACACTACACTGTACCTGATAGATTTTTTTTTAAATGTATTCTGTTTAACCCAATGTATCCAAAGTTTTATCACTTCAACAGGTAATCAAGATAAAATTATTAATGAAATATTTTACACTTTTTTTTCTCTATGTTTTTGAAATCTACTGTGCATTTCACAATTATAACATATCTCAATTTGAATTACTTAATAGCCTTATATAGTTAGCAGTTAATGTATTGGGTGGCCCAATTCTTTAGAAGATTTTGCATTCAGAATTTGAGGATTCCTTCTGGAAGCCACTATGATGAATAATTACATCTTATTTGTTCTCATATAGTCCTAGAGTTTAGAGCTGAGGGAGTTAGACCAAACTAAATGCAAACCCAAGGTCTACTGAGCTCAGTGGTTTTGGAAAGATTACTTAATCTTTCTAAACCTCAGTTCCTTAATTTGTAAAGTGGGAAAAATACTATTTCTCTCACTGGGTTTCTGTCTGAATTAGATAACAAAGTGCTTAATGTAGTGCTGCCACAAATTATGAATTAATACATAGTAACTATACTAAAAATCCACTAGATTATATTCCCAAGTGCAATATCTTTCACATGCATGTCTTTCATAATGTGCCTAACATAGAGAGCACAATAATTTCTAAGTCTTATCTCACCATTAAGACATGGATAGCTCAAGGTATAGAAAGAGCATGGGACTCTCATCCTCATCCTATCTTTTTCTTTCCCTTTTATTAAAAAAAAATTGATTATTTTCCCCTTCTCTTGCTTAAGGGATCAGGGCTGATGGGGCTGAAAAGACTGGAAGGGTCCAGGAAGGAGCCAGTAGGGTCAGAAGTTTGGTTACACACATGGGCAGTGAGCAAAGTAGTAGTTTGAGACTAACAGAAACCAGGTTATTTCTCACTGTTGGAGAATGGTGTTACAAACATGGGAAGGGCATAAGCAAGAATGCTGTTGTGGTGTTTGATTGTAACTGGAGTTGTCAGTGTGATATCATGGTATTTAATGTAGAAACAGAGCAATAGCTATAACTCTGTGTGTGTGTGTGTGTGTGTGTGTGTTTGTATATGTGCACACATATGTGTATATGTATATTTTCTAGTGGAGAAATACTGCAGATAAATCTTAACTAAGTGGGGTTGGTTATAAGATCAATTCCATTTATGTGTCTCCTGATATGATTAAGAATACTACATTGTTTCTGTGGTATTTCAGCCAAAAAATGCACTGATCTTGCAATGAGCAAACATCACACAAATCTAAATTGTGGAATATTTTACAAAATGTAATCTTCAAATGTCAAGGTCACAAAAGACAAGACTGAAAAACTGTTCAAAACTAAAGAGAGTAGAGACATTATAACTAAATAAACCAAAAGAAAAAAAAACTTTCTATAAAGATCATTATTGAGAAATTTGGTGACAAATTGAATGGGATCAAAGGATTAGAAAGAAATTATGTTAGTCAGCTTTTCATTGCTGTGACCAAAATATCTGACAAAAACAACTTAGAAGAGAAAAAGTTTATTTTGGCTCAGTTTCAGAGGTCTCTGTGTAGGTCAGCCAGCTCCATAGCCCTGGGCATGGGATGAAGAAAAAATATCATGGCAAAAAGGCGTGCTGGAGGAAAGCTGCTTAGCTCATGGCAGGTGGGAAGCAGAGAGAGAAAAGAGCTGGAGAGAAGATAAACCCTTCCAGGACACACTGGCCAGTGACCTGCTTCCTCCAACTAAGTCCCTCTGCCCAATAGTTCATTCAGTCATCATGAGATTAATTCACTGACAAGGTCAGAGCCCTCATAATCCAACTACTTCCCTAAACCCCCACCTCTAAACACATGAGACTTTGGGGGACACTCTAGATCCAAATCATAATAGAAATCACATTAATTTACTGGTTTTGAGTATTATTCTGTGGTGATATAGAGGGTATACTTGTCTTTTAGAATAATCAGACTAAAGTATACAAGTTGATTCATGAAAAAATATACCTACACACAAACACACATAATATTCAAATTTTAGCTATCTAAAACATGAGGTTTTTCTAACACTGGATAATATAAAACAATGATTGCATGAATGGTGCATCTCTACACCATGTATAACCAGAGAATTGAAATGTTGGGCTCCATTTGTGTATGATGAATTGAAATTCATTCTGCTGTCATGTACAACTAAGTAGAACAAATAAAAAATATATAAAACAAAACCTCAGATAATAACAACAACAATAATAACCACCGAATATTTTTGATGCTGCTCTAGAGTTTCCTTAGCACTTTGCATCCTGACTCTTGTGACATTAAATGGAATAGGCAGGCATTCAAATTAAAGAGCAACATAGCATTAGTAATTGTGAATGTCGACATATAGTGCCTTGGGTTATGGCTGTCAAAGAAGGGGTCATGCCCTTGTTACTTAAATCTCCAACAAGGCCTGCATCAGCTCATGGCTGCAGGGAACAAATGAGGTGCAATTTAATGTCCATCTGGGCATCTGTTCCTAAGAGGCTGGCACTCCTGTTTGTTTGTAGTTCACAGTGTATTTGGGGCAGTGACATGGCAGACAAGTGGGACTAGGTTGTGCCCGGGAGGTTTCTACTCTCAGCCAAGATGTGCGCAAGAATTTGAAACAACCAAGAGGGTGTTTCAGAGTTGCCTGCCAAAGAGTGGTGTTTTCTAATCTGGAGAGCAGCTGTTGGGCACAGGCATGCAATACAAACACACACACACACACACACACACACACACACGCTCACAGAGACTATACCTGCCTCTACTTGTCTGCTCTCAGCAGATGGCCTCTTGCTTTTGGGTCGCCTTATTTTGCAGCCCAGTCCAATTAGACCCTTTCTTCCCTGGAGACTGGAAAGCTGTGGGGTGAGGGTTTCAGCAAGGTCTCCTGTCTTCAGAGTATGAAGGACACTGTCCGGCAAGAGAAGAGGGTTACATTTAGAGTTCGGGCCCAGTTGGTGTTGGGCTCCCCGCTACTTCTTTTTTGCAGAACTATCACTGGCCCCTGGTTGCAAACTCTCCGTGGCTTTGAAGTCCACAAAATAAAAACTGAGAGGGGGCCCAAAAAGAGAAGAAAACGTTGTTGGTCCCCAGACTCCACTATCGGATTTTGGCAGGGATGAGAAGAGAGAACTACCAAGAGTGATCAAGTGCAGGTCCCTGCATGGTAAGTTAAGTGTCCTTAACCTTGCTGAGAAGGGGCTTTGAGGATTTCTGTGTTTTCCAGCAGCTGGGAATTGCCAACTCTGCTCTCCAGAAGTAGAATCTTCTGACTATTATGCAAGAGGATGCAGTAAATCTCAGGTATGATTAAGAGATTATGAAGATAACTTTTAGGCTAAAATGATTAAGAGCCACTTGCAAAACAGAGGAATTTTCTGACAGCAAGTTAAATTTTGCTAAATTGGTAGGCATGAAAGAAAACCAAAATGAAATTTAAAATTACTATTCTCTTAAAAGTAAGATTAGTGGTGAAAAAAAAAAATAAAGAAAGAAAAAAAAGGGAGGATAGGTTTGAGCAATTGAGTTTCCTTGTTAGTAGCATCAATTTGTAAGCTGATGTGGATGATCAACACAAAATTTTAAAAATCACCACCATGTGATGAAATGGAGAGGAATACTGGATATGCTAGTTTGGAGAGGAAGAATTCTCTTTTCATGGAAAGATCAGTAGAAGAAGATACTAGCATCTTACAGGCAACCAGATAGTATTCTGTTTTTTCTTTGTTCACAGTTCTGTGATGTTAAGATTTGATGGAGTGGGAGTAGCTAGAGAACAGAAGAGGTAGAGTTTTTGGAAGGTCTTGAGAGATCATTATCAAGAGCTTTTGCTGTCACTTATCCCAAAGAAAATGATTGGATATCCACATTTCAATGTAAATGAGAAATGATGACAGACTGCCACCAATTAATACCAGAGTAAGCTTTGCTCACTGTACTCATTGGGTAGAAGAATTATTCAGTGTTTAGGGTGGCTGCATAGTTTTGTATATAGGAGTTCCTTTTAATAGAGATATATGTTCAGTCAAAATCCTTGGTCCTACAACTGATGTTCACCTTTCTTTATGCAATATTGTATAAATCTATGAAAGCACTAGAAGAGTGCAGTTCATATACTGTTTAACCACATGCAGCATATTTCATGTGTATTATATTTGCATAAAGGAGGGCATGGTGTAGTTTGTTACTGGAGAGAACTTATTCAAATTATGGCAATGTTCCTCGAGCTGCAACTAAAAATGCCATTCCTATGATGACACTTTCCAATTTATCAGTCCCTTAAAAAAATCGTATGTATCTTCCACAATTATCAGTTGACACTACTATGAAACTCCTATTATGCTTAATTAAAATTAGCATAAATACTGTAAGAGCTGTTTGTTATTGAAGTTTTCTGAAGGTAACAATAATTTGCATGAGCTATTTAGACTTCCTTAAAACAAATGTTTTAATTAAGGGTGAGGTCTACACAATGAGAGCTTTCCATGTAATATTCCCAAAGTGATAAGGGTTTGGGTTCTTATAAACAGAGCAAAAACACTCCATAAATATGCTGGGTCAGAAAAGTACTGATTATTAAGAGGGGTATGAATTCATTTTTAGAGCTTAGTGTATATTACTATTCATATATAATTGTCTTTTTGTTTAAACTTTACTGAAGTGAAGAATTTTAGTCAAAAATTGGTGTTACGTAGTGGCACTGTCACTACAGATATTTTATTGTGGTTTCAACATGATGGTTCATTTGGTGAAGCACTGTTGTAGGAGACTGACACTACAACTTGCCCTAAGTTGAACAGCTCCAACAATGGGGAAAAACCCAAAGTAATGGACCCTGAATTCTCTTCATTCAGAATGCATTCCATACTATTAATTGTCTTAACTGAAAACAAAAAGTTAATTACATATTTGCCTCTCTAATGTGTTGCATTAAAAAAAACAGTTAAAGAAAAAGTGTTAGTTGTTTTATTTCCTTAGGTGAGAACTATTAACTACCAGCATTTATTAACCATTAATTCTGAGCGTGGAACAATGTTCTATTTCATTTCTAACAGGGGGAACATTTTTATAGTGAAGAGTTTGTTCACTTGTTCATTTGTTCACAGATCACTATGGAGTGCCTACTCTGTGCCAGACCTCAGGCAGGTTAACAGGGATACAGTCAATGAAACAAATATGGTCTCCATATGCTCAGAGAGTAGGAATCTGCACAAAAAGGCCACTCATTCGTGTTTTGAATCTGTATGTTGTGCATGCTGTTTACCACAGAACTTCTCTCATTCCTGCTTAAAAGTTAAGAACCAGAAAAGTTTTTCTCTTACTTTGAACAGGGTTATTTAGTTATCTGCAAGATATGGGGACAACTCTAGAGACCAACTCAATGTAAAATAATTGAGTTGGAAGATACATTTTAGTACAAATACTTGAGCCTTACTTTGAGGAATGTTGATATTTCTGTCTAAGCTATAGATAGTGAAAGACTCAAATGACAGTTCTTCTTCAGAACTGAATCAGATAGGATGTCCCTAAGAAAGTCCCTGAATAGTATACCAAGGAAATGGTAATGAAAAATTTGCTTTCAGTTAGGAAATAATTGTATGGACTGTATTCCAAAGGAAATCCTTAAGGAAGATATTAGAACACAATTTATATTATAATCTCTCTAGCAATCAGGGGTTCAAATCTGACATTCAAGACATTTCTGACACTGTCAATCACAGTGCCCACACTGAAAGAGTAGCAGTACTGTGCTTCTCACTTGGGTCAATGAGACTTCATAACATCCTTAATTGTAACAACAATGCCATTTACACTCATGAAATATTTTACATTGTTTGGAAGACTCACATGTTGGTTACTCATTTGTTCCTGTGTGACAGGAAAAGCAGGTATTATCATTCTCTGCTTGGCAGATGGACAAACTAGGTTTTAGACTAGCTCAGATATTTTTCTCTCTGATGCACAGCCTTATAGAGTAATTTCTTACATAAAACACAAGAACAATTTTAAATTTTCATCATACCTACTTGCAGCTTCTACCTACTGTTTGAAGATGGTGTGGACAAATGGGAAACTATCTAATAAGGGAAAGTGTCAGGATTCCCCTTCCATCCTCACCCTTGAAATCTTTCCTCTGGCCCTTGAAAAATTTTCTTTTTGGATAGAACAATGAAGCAGAATATGGGAGAGTAAACTAGTTAACTCTGGCTTTACTGCTAATACCATTCATTGTATGATATAAAAAACAATTCTGAGTGATAAGAATGGAAAACATTATTACCTTCCATAATTTAGAAAGTTTGGTGACTGTTAAGGATTAGAGTAGCATAGTATGATAGTATATTTGCCAAAGCAAATGGGATTTTAAATTGCTAATTAGTGCTACCAGCCTAACAACATAGGCTGTCACATCAGACAACTGCCCACTCAGTCCTGTTTCTTTCTGGTGGAAGCACAAGTGGGTCCTTGTGGAAAAGCAGTTTATCATGGGTAAGAGAGAAAACATCACAAGAAAAAAATTCTTGGCCTGGGAAAATGTTAAGTGTGGCTGAGAGCTGTACATAGCTGAGCAGAGCAGTCTTGAGTGAATGGAGGCCTTTCTGATGGAATTAGAGAGTAAACTGATCTGCTGTTGACTAACAGAAGGGTATCAGTATGCAGAGAACCAGACATAGTTCTATCTGTTATTAGTTATGACTAAACAAATGCAACAAGACCTTACTTCTTTTTATATTCTTCCTGGATTTTTTTTTTTCTGTCTATTTAAAATTTGTTGAAATTCTTTGCACAGAGACGTTTAGCTACTTTTCTGTTCATGATTTGGAATGGATGTCACAGATCTTCAGGATGGAATTAGGGACAATTCCTTGGCTAGATAACTGGAATCCAGAGGAGGATAGCAAGTGGACAAAGCAAAGGCTGCCTCTGTGGCTCCCCTCAGAGCTGCTGTGCCTGGCTCTGAAACAGAAAGAAACAGAGGCAGCTGCCTCTGAGCCATGTAATTAAACTGCCAGGTTTTGACTGGGGACACCAAGGACTCCTTGTTTCAGCTGCTCCTAACAGCTCCACATGAAGCTATTTTAAGAACTTTCACATTTGATCAGGGAGCATGTGGGGTTAAGCTTTCTGTTTTCCACTTTGGTTTTAGATCCTTAGCAGGTATAGTTAGTTCAAATTTTTAAAAAATGTATTATTGTATTTCCTTATAATCAAAGCCTAACTAACTTCATATCAAGAGTGATAAAAATGGAGATTTCTTTCTTTTTTTTAATTGGTTGATCAAAACATTACAAAGCTCTCGACATATCATATTTCATACATTAGATTCAAGTGGGTTTATGAACTCCCATTTTTACCCCAAATACAGATTGCAGAATCACATCGGTTACACATCCACATTTTTACATAATGCCACATTAATAACTGTTGTTCTCTGCTACCTTTCCTACCCTCTACTATCCCCCTCCCCTCCCCTCCCATCTTCTCTCTCTACCCCATCTGAGATTTATTTCTTAAATACAATGAAAAGTATTTAGGATTTGGTTGGAAAAAGTCACTATTATTTTCCACTATAATTCGTGTTTGGCAAAATTTCAGTGAAAAATATGGATATATGGATGAATAAATAAAGTCATTTGGCTTGAGTTAGGTATTTGTGTGCTAGTGTCCATTAATCTTACTTATTATATTGGGCATTTGGCTGCCAAAGAGACCATTGTATATTAAGGACATTTGGAGTTATCTACCAATATCAATCTGTGATTAATTATCTGAACTTTTACAATTAGAGAAATGTCTTCTATAAGACTCACTTGACTTTCTGAAGGTACATAAAGTTGAAACAAAAGTTGAAGCAATAGTGATACAAAAAATTCCTTTTAATAATGTTTTAAACCAAGTATCTGAAAATTCCTCCAAAAGATATATGTCTTCCCATGCTTGTTGAAACTCTGTATCCCTAGCGAGCTATCACACACCTATGCATCTGAATCAGATTTGTCCTTTCAGTTCAAAAGATGTTTGCCCTCTTTAGGAGATTCAGCAAGCAGAGTGCTTGAATCCAACTCTAGAAAAATAAAGGAAGTAGGGTAACCAATTTTCCAGGCATACTTGGGATTGAGAGGGTTCCTGGGATGTGGGACTCTTTCCAGAAAAAATGGGAAAGTA